ATGTGAACAGGGACTGGTGAGTTGTATTGTGAGGTCTCAGCTCTGACAGAGGGGACTCTAGACAGGATCTTCAACCCCAAGAGTATGCTTAGGGGCCCTAAACCAAAAATAATATCTAGATTTTCTTCAGAATCTGTAGGCTAAAAGTACATGGGGGCCCAGTGATGTGATCCCTTACAATAGTCTGGTGAGTGGTATAGAGTGGAAGCTCAATTTGAGTTGTGAAACTTGTCTATCTTCTTTTTTAAAATAACAACAAAATCAGACCAGGACTGGCTGATTGAGAGCCTTTTTTCAGTGCTAACAATTCTCTAATTCTTCCCTCCTCCCTTTCCCTGCTCTCTTTTTTCTTCTCTTTTGCAATTCTAATACAGGTTGACCTGCCTGACTGGTCCCAAACGGGGAAGTATGCCAGATGAGAGGGGTCAGTGAAGGGGTCATCTGCTGCCAGCTTCTCAGATCTCCCAGAGGGCCACCAGCTTCCCAACCACCAGGACTCCCTTCCTTGCCACTCATCCCCACTCCAAGGTTCCCCTTTCGGCCACCATCCCCACAGCCAGTCCCAGTTATCGGGCTGTCAGCTCAGCTCCTGCCCTGGCCAGGCTTCCGCCCCTCTTCCCTCCCACCCCCCAGATGCTGGACTGGCTCCACTCCCAACCTGGCTCCACCCCTGACCACCGCCCCAGCTCCTTCTCCCAGCCCCCTTCCTACTGGTTCATCTCTGCTCCCAGACTTGTCCAGACCCCCAGCTGCTAGCTTGGTTCCGCTTCCAGCTCTGGCCTTAGCCAGGCTCCTGACTGCCAGCCCCTTTGCCACCTGATTTCCAGCCAGCCCCTACTTTCTGCTGCAGGGCTCTCTGGTCCAGCAACATCTGTGGTTCTGCCCAACCCCAGATGTTGCTAGACAAGAGGGTCCTGGATCAGAGAGGTTTAACCTGCATTTTGATTTAGGGTCTGTTCACACTTTCCCCCTTTGATTGCTTCAGTGTGACAATATTTTGTATTCTATTTTTGATACATCTATTCATAAGCTGTTTTGACATTCATACCTTAATTTCAGCTTGACTTGTGCCTTGTGTCTTATCCCATTGTAATTTTGCATCTCAACTTGAAAGTCAATGGATAGGTAATGAGTATTATGACTAGGTTAAAGATAGATTATTATTAAACATAAACATCTCCAGTTGGTCTGGATTCTTGATTGACTCTTTGTTTTTCCTTGTCTCTTCTCCACTTCACCATGGAGACAGTAGTACAAGGCTACTGCCAGCTTTTCTGACAGAATCCATTGTATCTTGTTTACTCTTTCATCCCTACAGCAGTAATGCAAACATTTCATTTAACTCTATAAAAAGGTAACATTAAAAACGTAGTGCAATGTTTTTGAGGGAGATAGCTTAAAACAATTTAATCATTCAGCTATCTTGAAACATCTATTCACATTCACTGTAAGGTTTTCAAACCAGGACATTTTATGTGTTTCTATTGAGGAAACATTGTGGATAGTTTAAAAAAAAATACGCAGTGCAGCAGCAATTACAAAAGCATATATCACTAAGTTGTTTGGGTGCATAAAAATAGAGTGAAAAATAACAGTGAAAACATTTTTATGGCACAGTATTCAGAAATATTGCGCAGCTTTTTATCTTGAATACTGGGTCCAGATTTTCTCCTTTGTGCGTTGTGTGTGTGTGTGTGTGTGTGTGTGTGTGTGTGTGTGTGTATATATATATATATATATATATACACAATTTAAAACCAAAACTGAAATGTTTAGAAAATATCTAAATAAAACATTTTGTTTAATCCTATCGGATTTTTCCTCCCTCTGACTTGTCAGGTTGCAAGAATTTTTGAGCTTTTGACTTTTCATCCTTATTCAGGGTAGGAAATAGTTTCAAAGGGTATGTCTAGACTGCAGAGTTTTTCTGGGATATCAGGGTACGTCTACACTACAGCGCTAGTTCGAACTAACTTAGTTCGAATTAGTTAATTCGAACTAAGCTAGTTCGAACTAACGCGTCTAGAACTAAAAACTAGTTCGAACTAGCGTTTTGCTAGTTCGAACTAGCAAGTCCACATTGAGTGGACTCTGAACAGGGCTTAAGGATGGCCGGAAGCAGTGCCGGCAGGGCATAAAAGGAGGACTTAGAGCATGGAGATGCTGTCTCAGGCTAGCCGAGGGCTGCGCTTAAAGGGTCCCGACCCCCACCCCGGACACACAGTTCTAAGGGGTGCCCCGCTTGCAAAGAAGTTCTGGCTTGGAGTGCCCTGAGTGCCCACACTGGGCACATCACACCACTCGGCCATCAGCCCGGCTGCACTTGCCGCAGGCTGCCATCTGGGGAGAGGGAGTAATTGGGGGGCTGCAGGAGAGCTTCCACCCCCAGAAGCCCGCAGAGCCAGCCCAGTCCTCCCCATCGGGGGCTCGTACCCCATTCCTCCCTCACCTCCTTCCACTTACCCTTCCCTAGCCCCCCTTCTTATTGATGTACAAAATAAAGATAACGTTTCTTCCAACATTGACTCTGTCTTTATTGAAAAAAAACTGGGGGAGACTGGGAAAAGGAGGTGGGAGAGGGGAAGAGAAAGGCTGGGAGAGGGGAGGGCAACTAACATGATCAGGGGTTGGGAACAGGTCCCAGATGAAGAAAGGCTACAGAGACTGGGACTGTTCAGCTTAGAAAAGAGGAGACGGAGGGGGGACAGGATAGAGGTCTCTAAAAGCAGGGGTTGGGTGGAGAGGGTGCATTCAGAAAAGTTCTTCCTGAGTTCCCATAAAGAAGGACTAGAGGACACCAAAGGAAAGGAATGGGTAGCAGGCTTGAAACTAGTAAGAGAAAGTTGTTCTTCTTGACAAAGCAAATAGTTAACCTGTGGAACTCCTTGCTGCAGGAGGCTGTGAAGGCTACAACTAGAACAGAGTTTAAAGGGAAGTGAGATCAAGTCATGGAGGTTGGGTCCATGGAGTCCTATTAGCCAGAGGGTAGGAGTGGTGTCCCTGCCCAAAGTTTGTGGAAGGCTGGAGAGGGATGGCACGAGACAAATGGCTTGGTCATTGTCTTCGGTCCATCCCCTCCAGGGTCCCTAGGGTTGGCCGCTGTTGGCAGACAGGCTACTGGGCTAGATGGACCTTTGGTCTGACCCAGGACGGCCATTGTAAGCTCAGGGCTCAGGGTCGGGGGTCTCAGTGGACCCCCTTGATTTTCATGCACACCTGGTCCTGGGTGGCCAGGCTGGCAGCTCTCCTGCCCTAGACGGCCACTTTCCTGTGCCTAGTGCAGAGATCGTGGACAAGGTCCATTATGTCCCGTGCCAGGTGCAGGGTCTGCTAGCTGGGTGCTGGCAGGCTTGCACCTGGCACGGGCACCGTAGCCAGCCCGTGCCCCTTTAAGGGGTCCGGGGCCGGGAGGGGGGCATAGAGTTTCCCTGGTGTTGGCCAGAGTGGCCACCAGGGAAACCTGGGAAGCCTTAGCCTCCCACTAGTTCGAACTAAAGGGCTACACAGCCCTTAGTTCGAACTAGCTAGTTCGAACTAGGCGTTAGTCCTCGTAAAATGAGGTTTACCTAGTTCGAACTAAGCGCTCCGCTAGTTCGATTCAAATTCGAACTAGCGGAGCGCTAGTGTAGCACCTATTAAAGTTAGTTCGAACTAACGTCCGTTAGTTTGAACTAACTTTCTAGTGTAGACATACCCTCAGAGCCATCCTGGAAAAGCTCTGCTGCGTCCAAGGAACGCATCTGCTTTTCAGAAAAAAAAATCGGAAAAACAGACACGTTTTTTCGACATCCTTGTAAATCTCATTCTATAAGGAAGAAGAGATGTTCCTGAAGAGGATTTTTTCCCCCAACATTTGGCCCAGTCTGGATGGGCCAATTGTCAGAAAAGACTCTTTTGGAAGAAAAGCGGAAAAAGATATGCAAATTGCAGTTCGCAATTTGCGTATCTCTTTCTGGTAGAACTTTGTAGTCTAGAGACAGCCAAAGTTTTGAAAATTCTCAGCAGATGGGAACATCGTTCCCTGCCCAGCTTTAATTCTGATATGTGTTGCTAAAATAGACTTCAGAGTTCCATGAAAGACAGAGGCTTCCATGGAGACAATCTTGAAACATATATAGATTTAGAAGGCCAAAACTTTTGGTCATTCTATTTGTAGTAAGCTCCTTGTGTTCCACCATATAGTAAGGCATTAAGGCTACAGAAATTCCATCCAGCTTTGATCTTTCTATCGTTTTTTCTGTGGGAGAGCATAACCTACGTCATACTCTGTCATTCTAATTCTATCAGTGGATCTGCTTCTACAAGTAAGATTTAAGGATTGTGGCCTTCTGATTTTAATTTTTTTTACTAGTTGAGCATGATTACCGGGTAAAGCCTAATATCAGGGAAATAAATAATATAACACTATGGCAAAATCCAACAGGACTTGAAAGTAGTTGGAAGCTCATCAACACTTAGCTGTTTTGCAAATGATACTCCTGAAGTACCTGCACAGATTATTTCTGTGTTTGCTGGGCATGTGACATTCTTCTTTGATTTGCATGTCTGGAAACTAATGTACAGGAGATGGAAAAGATTTTGCTCCTTTCTGCTGCTGTGCTTCTGAAGTTTTGTCACTTTTGGGGGGAGGGAGGGGAAATAAGTAGAAATGTTGTCCCTAGCCTCTGTTTGTCAGAGGCTGGAAATGTATGTCAGAAGAGGGATCATTTGATGATTCCCTGTTCTGCTCATTTCCTCTGGGACATCTGGTATTGGCCATTGTGGGAAGACAGGATACTAAGCTAGATGGACCTTTGGTCTGACCCAGTATGGTCGTTCTTATGTTCTTAAAACTGTTTAGCTGTTTTGGGACTGTGTTCAACCTTTTGAGTTTTGCTTGCCTTCCTGATATATCCTTACTGCTTGATATTCTATCTCAGTTCCTCTTATTCAGGATATGAAAGGATGTTCATAACAATTGTTAAACATTATACCAGCTAAACGCATATGAAAGAAAACAAGTTTGTTCTTTCAGTTTGTAGCTGAGACAAAGGAGGAAATTGAGAAGGAAAGCCAATTGCCTCTCTAAAAGTTTTTCCAAAGATTTAAAGCAGTCCCTGAGCAAGTAGCTAAAATTGGGTCAGTTCCCTTAGAAAATACAGAGGTAACCTTAGCAACTTTGTTATTTGTTATTACATCTTTGGAGATTAAAATGGACGGTCTTGCCCCTAGGGTTGCCAGGGTTAGGGAATAAGGTGGAAGTAGATCAAAGAAATTGTCATCTTGGAAAAAAACTCATAATGCTCCAAATAAAAAGTGGAAACAATTGTGCTAGGTTATTTCACCAACTCTTATAAGGGAAAATTGTTTTCATAGGAAACTGACAACATACAAATATAGTGTTAAAATATGAGGCAAAGAGCTGCTGGCTGGAGCAGAAGAGGATGATTCAAATGACTTGGAATTTTTTTTAAATTAAGAAGGCATTTTGTAATTTAAATAAGCAATTGGCAGGCAAATCCGGTAGCCATTACAATGCTCTATCTTCAAAAATTGGTGCATTTTGGAAGATTATTTGAAGTATGTAGAAAGGGCAGCCTATTATTTCTACTTTCATATTGAGCTATTGACAAAACAAAATGAATAAAAGATGAATCCACTGTGGAATATTTGCTCATGGAAATGATTCAGTGAGAAGGACAGCAATATTTATTTTTTCTTCTTCATTTCTGGGTCTTCCACTACTGCTTTGTTTAAATTATTATTTATTTACTTAAAGTGCTGCTAAAACCACTTGTGATAAAGAGACATAAAGGAAGATACAGCCTTTCGCTGTGAAAAATGAGTGGAATTCAAGCCCAGACAATGCAGAGCAGAAACATGTGTGCAGTTAAACTAGAAACTGACATATACTCACAAAAATCTTAATGGAAGGAGTTTGTTGTAAGCAGAGGTTTGAAGGATGAGGAATTCATTAGATGCATGAGAAAACTGAGCCATGGCCATGGGTGGCACAGAGATAACTTGTTATATACAAAGTGTAGAAGAATGGAAAGGGAACAGTTAGTAAGTTGATTTGAGAGTTTGAGAAACATTGGTGAAAGATCCGCAAAATGCCAGAAGTTTCCAGTGGGGAAGGGCAAAGGGGCAGTTGCCCCAGGGCTTGGTGATTCAAAGAGCTTGGGGCTCCCCATCACAGTCACTGCTCTTGTGGCGGCAGCAGTGGCCAGAGCCTCATGCCCCTTTAAATTGCTGCCAGAGTGTTGCCCCACATGCTCCATACAAGTCTGTGGGCTGGTGGAGAGGGTGTCTGTGCTGTGCTGTGGGTGGCAC